AATTAATTGTCATTAATTAAAAAGATGGAACTTACAAATAATCCAAGGGAATTGAAGAACAAGATGGAAGAGTAGAAGAAATTTCGTCCCTAGGCCTCTCTCTAAGCTCCCCTCAAAACAGGGGTTTACAGGCTGTTTAAATAGGAAAAACGGAGCAATTCAGGTTGAATTAGGACTGAAACGGGGCACACACGGCGCCCACGCACGCGTGCGTTGCGTCCATGCGTCCGACAGACATGCGCGTAAAATCGTTGGACGCACGCGTGCGTCTCTCCCCACTGTCAGTGAGTTTTCCGGCTTTTCTGGTCCGACTTTGACAAAACTTCCTTCATGAAAGTTGTAGATAATGAAGTCCTCTATCCACCACAACTTGCCGAATTGGATTTGAATCATCCAATCAAGAGATACAAATACAATGGTGGATGGTCTCATTTTGAAATCGCAACAGGGACAATCTGACTTCATCGTCTGTTTTCACCTTCTTCCTCTCAGATTCTTGCAATGGTTTCTTCATATGATTTATAGCCCTTGAAGTTGGCTTTCATATGCAACTTGAATCGTGTCCTTTGGATGCTTTTACAAAGAGATATGTTTGAACGATTGACATAAGGACATTCTGAACGTCATTTTCAAGCTCTATTTGTCTTCTTTTGATCCCCTAGCCAATCCTAGAGCTCTTTTGTCATCAAATCTTCATTGGTGAACCTCCCAGTGACCTCCAAAGCCATCAATTCACTCTCGAATGCTTCTCAAGTTGTCTTGATTTCTCTTCAAGCGCCGATGCCGGACTCTAAATTCCTGATTTTGACTCCAAATAACACAAAACTCGAACCGACGCCTCGTACACATAACTTGAGCTAAAATTGAGATTTGTGACACCTAAAAGTTAGGAAAAACATCAAAAACCAATCCCAACATGCATCAAATGTGTGTTGTAATACGGACTTATCAGATTCCCCCACACTTAAGCCTTTGCTTGTCCTCAAGCAAACTAAACAACGAGACTTACGATAATCACCACACGAAATTAAAACAATTAGCATGCACAGGTAGTTACAGGGATACTCACAGAACAGAGAGATAAAACCAAGAAAAATCTCCCCTAAACTACATCTTTGTACTGTAGCTAAAAATAATGACAAAATTATTCACAACATCCTCAAAATTATGGCAGCGCACACTAATAAACTAGTTACTGATTAGAAGGACTTGTGAATATGGTGATGAATGGTGAATGAATAATCAATCCCTTTATTTGAGAGTTTTGGAACAACCTGAAAAGGACTTTATGCATTCAGGAATTTCAGGGTTATTCTTAGGATCACGGAATTCAGTAGACCACAAACCAGGAACTATCACTTAAACCTATGCAAAGAGTAGACATGATGTACAACTACGCTAAACCACCACGACACATTGGTGTTTTGACGTATACTTGAAGTACGCGAAGGACTAATGCTAATTTTTGCAATAGCCTCCAAGTTCAATTAATTAAGATCAGGTTTCCTTGTCATGTTGGCACGAGAACGCCGTTTCTTTCGAAAGATCCCCAAGTCTCATCTTATTGTGCAGAACACTTACGCTTTTTGACTGGGTCTCTCATTCTCTTTTTCGCAAGGTAAGATGTCTAGCTATATTAAATTTTTCAATTTTCAGATTTTCACTAGACATTACCCCATTCTAATCTCGGCTTCACCAAGGAAAATTAGCAATTAAGGTTCAATTATTCAACGTGAATCCATGCCTACAATGCAATCCTCGAAAATATCAAATTCCTAAAAAGTGACTGCTCTTACCCCACTTGGGGCATAGGAACAGTGCCGACGGTGGCTCCTACAAAAATTCCCTAAACTTAGCAAATTAATCCCCTAGTTCCCTAAACACCAAGACTTTGTCAGAAATATTCACGACTAAGGAAACACAGGCCATTTGGACAATGGAGCTCAATTAATTGGGTAAAGAATAAACGGTCAGGCTCAAAATGGCTTCTCCTAAAGGACTTATTCAGGTCAGGTGGATGATTTGTGAAACAATTCAATGGGTGACTAATGCATTCATCCTCAAAAACTAGGTTATAGTGCAAGCAATTTAAGCCTAAACAATTCAAAGATGTTCTAAAAGCATAGTCAACAGGTTAGCCAGCTCACAAAGACACAGTTTAAGGAAAAATTTTGACATGGCTTTTCTATGAATATACAACTAACACATGCGAATGCTAACTCTAGTAATCCCATGTGACAACTATTTCCTGAATTCCCAATTCACTGCCCCACACTTAAACTTTGACATCGTCCTCGATGACAAAAAATGCACTATGCACAAGGGGTAAAGAGGAAAGAGTCACGCATGCTCAATCTCAACTCAAGTCAACATTACAAATAGGCGATTATAAGAGTTGCAGAAACTTCCCTAAGGCGCTGGTTGGTGAAGAACTAAACTGAGTCAAGTGATCCTCGGCACATCATCCCCAAAATAAGACCTTGAGCTGTAAAAACAAAACACAAACACAAAAACAGAAAACACCCCGGATTTTTTTTTTCGGTTTTTTTTGAAAGCAAACAAACAAAGACAAAAGTGCAGAATTAAACTTGGGTTGCCTCCCAAGAAGCGCTATTTTTAACGTCGTTTGCCCGACGATACCTCATATGCTCTCAAATAGCAAAGACTGCAGTGGTGCACTAATAATCAACGTTTCCAGCTTCCTCTCAACAAATGCCATTAAGTGACGCAGATTCTTAAATTCTTGAAAACACTTAGGAAGCGCATGGTCTTCATAACCCTCGTCAGCACAGAAGTGAAGGATGAAACTTTCATCCTCTTGTTCAAAATGTATCACAAATGCCTCCTTTCTTCGTTCGAATGTACCATGAAAATTCTGAACACCTCCTCTTGACTCGCTATCACACTCCATGAATGCATCCCAATTCATTTTGTCACTCTTCTTATTAATATCCTCCAAGCAGTTGTGATCATTCTCCACACAAAAAGAAATATCATCACCGAGGAATGGATCAAAGAAATCCAAACCTGGACTAACGTACGAGGAGTAATCTTGCATGTGGAGCGGGAATCCTTCATCATGGGGATCATCTACCTTGCTACCACTCTCTTGGAGCTCGTGATTATCTTTTCCCAACTCTCCTTCAATGTCATGACTCATCTGCTCCATTCCCTCCTCGTCAGGGGTTAAGACTAATGATAAATCAAATGGTTGAGGAGTTTCTATATGGAAATCACAGTGATCTCTGACTTCATCAGTTACAGCTTGTACCATTCGAAACTTTTGCCTGTATTCTTGAAAAAACAACTCGAGACTACTATAATTTTGATCAAGTTCAACAATAGGTGGATCTTCAAAAGCATCTGGGAGGGTATCATCCACCATATTCCCACCTTCGTAATCTGACTCGCTCACGTGATCATCCCTATTGGTCTCCTCAGATTGGTCTTCTACCAGATGGCTCCTTATGGTATTTATATGCTTCATGATGTTTGAAGTGCTCTGCTCCATGGCTAAAGAGCTCTCCCTTATATACTTTAGGTACTCAGAAAAAGTTTCTGAAAGTGTATTCTTACACTCATTCTGTGGCTCATTACTTGGCAAGGATGTAGGAATGGTGGAGCTTTTTGTGTTTCTATATTGTGGGGAGGAAGAAGTGGGGTATGCAGTTGCCCAGTAAGGATGGTCATAAGGTGGTTTAACGGGGCAAAAAGATATATGGTGACACCCTCCACAGTACGAACAAAAGTTATTCTTAGGCAGACAAGGTTGCATGGTTGGAGGGTATGAATAAGGGCTTCGATAATTTTTTGGTGCAGGAGAGTAATTTTGATGAGGAATATAATGAGGGGAATGATACTGGGAATGTTGCGTATTTGGAGGAGGGTAAGAATAGGAAGATGGAATATTTTGTGGTAAAGGAGAGTAATAATGGTGAGGAGTGTAATATTGAGGGGGGGGGGGGGGGGGGTGTAAGGAGGGTCTCGCGTATATGATGAATATTCCATGGAGGTTTGAGGGTAAAGAATTCCTCTTGGAATTTGGTTGAATGGGTTCATCTCATGTCTCTTACAAAAAATACCTGAAAGGTTAGCAAAGAAAAATCCTACGGAAAACAAAAAGAAAACTAACTAAAAAAAATCTCGTTGAAAATAATGAACCCTTAAAACCGACACCGTCCCCGGCAACGGCGCCAAAAACTGATGTTAGTTTTCTCGCACTTAAAATAGATTGTAGAATAGTGGTGTAAGTACGAGTATCGTCTCCACAAGGACGGACAAAAGGGAATTAAGAATTAAATAAATTCAACGATTAAAAAAAATAAAATAAATGCGTCGTGCGAGATTTGATTGATTGGGAAAATTAACTAATGCGAATGAACGATTAAAATAAAAGAAATTAAACTAATGGGTTCTTTCTAATTAATGACAGCAGGGAACAAGGATTGATTCCGGGGTAATCAGATTTTTGGCAGATCAGGCTTAATTACATGAAATTAATTTAATTGAGCATAGCTAATCAATACTAAGTTCTTACCGCTTTCGCGGCGTAGAGTACAATAATTTAGGGGACCAGACTGATCTCTCATGCGACAGGATCCTAAATTATTGCCAAAACGAGCGAGCTTACGACCCCTTAATCGCTACTAATCTCTTAGCGAGCGATTAAGTGTGTGTGAATGTGTCTCAGAATAAATTAGATCTCTCTTAATTTATTCTACAAGCAATTGTAAATCTAGCCGCAGTTCCAGGTTACAAAAGATAGCAATTAAATTGTTCAAACACAAATTAAACGACATTCATGCAATTAATCCATCAAGAAACTAGCCATACATCATGATTAACCCCTTCATCAATCCCAAATCTCTAATTAAAACTACTCACAACTCATAATTGAAGAATCAATAGAATTGGGAAGAATAGAATTAATTGTCATTAATTAAAAAGATGGAACTTACAAATAATCCAAGGGAATTGAAGAACAAGATGGAAGAGTAGAAGAAATTTCGTCCCTAGGCCTCTCTCTAAGCTCCCCCTCAAAATAGGGGTTTACAGTCTGTTTAAATAGGAAAAACGGAGCAATTCAGGTTGAATTAGGACTGAAACGGGGCACACACGACGCCCACGCACGCGTGCGTTGCGTCCATGCGTCCGACAGACATGCGCGTAAAATCGTTGGACGCACGCGTGCGTCTCTCCCCACTGTCAGTGAGTTTTCCGGCTTTTCTGGTCCGATTTTGACAAAACGTCCTTCATGAAAGTTGTAGATAATGAAGTCCTCTATCCACAACAACTTGCCGAATTGGATTTGAATCATCCAATCAAGAGATATGAATAAAATGGTGGATGGTCTCATTTTGAAATCGCAACAGGGACCATCTGACTTCATCGTCTGTTTTCACTTTCTTCCTCTCAGATTCTTGCAATGGTTTCTTCATATGATTTATAGCCCTTGAAGTTGGCTTTCATATGCAACTTGAATCGTGTCCTTTTGATGCTTTTACAAAGAGATATGTTTGAACGATTGACATAAGGACATTTTGAACGTCATTTTAAAGCTGTATTTGTCTTCTTTTGATCCCCTAGCCAATTCTAGAGCTCTTTTGTCATCAAATCTTCATTAGTGAACCTCACAGTGACCTCCAAAGCCATCAATTCACTCTCGAATGCTTCTCAAGTTGTCCTGATTTCTCTTCAAGCGCCGATGCCGGACTCTAAATTCCTGATTTTGACTCCAAATAACACAAAACTCGAACCGACGCCTCGTACACATAACTTGAGCTAAAACTGAGATTTGTGACACCTAAAAGTTAGGGAAAACATAAAAAACCGATCCCAACATGCATCAAATGCGTGTTGTAATACGGACTTATCAATGCACCTGTAACCTAGTCAAAACAGCCACATCTGACATCTCCCAAGGTCACTGTCACCTCACCAACTGGAAGGTGAAATGTGTGAGTCTCCTGTCTCCAATGCTCAAGAAGAGCGATGACCAGAGCTTTATCAAGTGGAACAGTAGCCACCAATCTATGTAGACCAAAAAAACTAGCAGCTCTAACATATGCTAAAACTCTCTCGTCCACCTGCACGTGGGACAAACTATGGAGGTGCTCTCGACACCTATCAATCTGCACATCCAGGCCACGCCACACGTCCTCAGTCCTATGTGTGGCCTGCAATGTAAGGACAGAAGGATCAACCGGATTTGGATCCGCTAACACCTCCATAGTACCTACAAAAATTGAAAAGGTGTGTTAGTTAGTAATTAATTAACAATTTTAAATTATTTTTTAATTCTCATTAATATGAGTTGTGGATTTTAATAATTAAATACTTACGCCGTGGACCCCCTACCATCTCCTTAAGATCTCTTCGCACATGTCGCTCTATTATGACCGGTTTGTTTACATATTCCGCATCTTACGGTTCATCTGACACCTTCATCCATCTCATTATTAATTTGTGTGGACTTTGGTCGTCCCTTTGCACGAAGCATGGATGGATAGTGCACAATTCGTGATCCATCGTACGTCGGCCAATAAGCACAGTCGGGAATGGGTTAAAAAACTCTTTGATATGAAGCGGCGTATTGGGAAGATGAGAAAAAAGGATCCACAAAACTATGGTAAGACAAACTATGTTGTCTACACACAGCTAATACATGGGAGCAAGGAATCTTATAGATTTTCACCTTCTTACAAGTATAAGTACGCTTCTGCAAATTAACACTTTGCTTTTTCCAACCCTTTCCCAATGTTCGGCCGCCACATCCCGTATCCACTTGGTATAGCCCTCGGCCTATATCAAATGCAGTGACAGTATGGTGTTTCACCTTGTCCTTATTCTTGTCAATTTTATTTGTAATGTATGGGGAGTACTCGTGGCCTTCTATCACTCTTCTTTTACTACTTTCACGTCTATCCACAAAATATGCATTGACGCGGTAAAAGGAAACCTGGACCAAAGCTGTGATGGGCAAGTATCGGGCACTTTTCATCACACTGTTGAAAACCTCAGCCATATTCGAAGTTGTGGTACCGTATTTGTACCCCCCATCGTGGTGTAATGACCACATTTCCAATGGAATGTTCCCCAGAAACTGTCGTGCCTCCACCCGCATTTCACCTATCTTCTTGAACCCACCATCAAACTTTTTTTCTTCTGATGTTGCCGTGCGGTCCAAACAAAAATATTTTTCATGTGAATGTCTTTGAAATGGGTGTGCACATTCGATGCCAGATGGCACATACATAGTCTATGGTGGGAAAAGGGCTCATCCCAACTACTCCCAACCTCCTTCATTGCCCTTATAATACCTGGGTGTCGATTAGAAATTACACATAATTCCGTGTTCGAAACAAATGACATAATGCATGCCATAAACCATGGCCAACTATCCACATTCTCTGATTCAAAGACTGCAAAGGCCACATGAGAAAGTTGATGGTTTGCATCAGTACCCATAGCCTCGAGTAAGGTACCCTTATATTTCCCATACAGGTGTGTGCCATCAAAAGTCAATACCGGTCGACAATGCTTAAAACCATGAATAGAAGGCTTGAATGCCCAAAAGACTCTATGAAAGTGGAAACACTCAGAGGGACCTGTGAGGGGTGGGTACTAGTGCACAATTGTCCCTGGATTCAAATATTGGAGCGCTGCCACGAAATGGGGCAATTCAGAATATGGCTTCTCCCAACCTCCAAATATTTCAACAATGACCTTTTGTTTGCCCAACCATGTACGTCTATATGAAACTGTATAACCATACTTTTCCTTCAACAACTCAATAATAGTATGGACTTTCAGGGATGGGTCAGTGTGAATAAGGTCAATAATATCTCGGGAGATAAAACCTGAAGTAATCGTCACATGATCATTGCTGTCATTGTTGCCAACACAGGTAGCAGAATGAGGTCCAGGATAACGCACAACTGTGAACGTGTCAAGTCTGGCATGTTTCTTTGTGGCTCGTATTCTCCATGTGCAATCACGTTCCTTCTTTCTCATGCACTCTGCAACCCATTTATGTTTGTATGACTCTAGCACACGATAAATTTGGTTGCGTTTGATAGAATACAAACTCACCATATTGATGAGTTGTTCTTTGTTGTCAAACTAATGACCAACCTCAAACTCACCGTCTTCTGTAAACCTTTTCACACCCGTTCCACTCTTCCATGCATCATCAAACCCGGATGGGAAATCATGCAATCTAGTATAGTGGGTAGATGGAGCAGTTGCGGTCACAATATCACCATTACCTTCATTTGATTCTGTCATTGCATCATCATTGATGCGTTCATCATCATCATCGGTTTCATGGCCATCCAAAAAGGATGCACCATTGTGCAAGTACCGTCCATCCTCCTCAACAACCATGTCCAAAAACAGCATCATTTGAAGAGGCCGCAATATTAACACCATGCCCAGATACAATAACATTTGATGTTGACGGAGTTACAGAAGTGTCACGGTGAGAATCTGAAATGTATATCTCCATTGTGGACATAGTCATCATCTGAACTATCATCCACAATGCCGTGTCAGCTTCCTCGTCATCAAGTGGCATAAGCATGTATGATCCCCCCGTGAAGGGGATATTTCACCTGCACTTGCAAAGAATGGCTCGAAGGTATCTGTGTAGCAGCATATAATTTTTGCACCATCTCACGCATACATGCGCCACGAGAAAAAACAAACATCCGTCTCCTACCACCTTCATAGCGTATATACCCCATGCTTCCTCAAATAATTTCCCTCCCCAATGACACACAATTGGTAAGTTGGAGAAATCCATATTCTAATAACAATACATGACGATAATGGATGAATACACAATAATACACACACTTTATACACCCAAATTCAACAATCCATAGACATAAAACATATCTAAAAACTCTCATATTTAAGAAAATCATATTACATATACAACACTTAACAAAGACAAAATAATAAGTTTTTCACCTAAAAAAAACTCAAAATATCACATTAAAATTCACATTACACAAGAAATGCACAACAACAACAACAACAAAAAATTACAATGAATTCAAGATTAAAATTCAACATTTCATACATATTCACATTTCACAGCAAATCAAATCAGAAATCAATTCCTAATTTACAAATTCGAAAATTATCACTTTAAACCCTAAATTGAAAATTGAGATGAAATTGGGGATTTGATATACCCAGAGGTTGAAGAATATGGTAGGTGGAATGGCCTCCTAGTTGTTGTGGTCGTCAGAATGGGTTGCTGCACCTGTCTTCGCTGGGGCTCTGTTTTGCCTCTCTATCGTTCATTCTATCTGTCTGTGAATGGTCTGCAGCAGTTTATTAAAGTGAAAGTCACCAAACGGTTTGGCGACTTATAAGTCGCCATCCCGTTTGGCGACTTAGTCGCCAAACCGTTTGGCGACTTAGTTGCCAAACCGTTTGGCGACTTTCACTAACCTTGGTTAGCCCAGCAGTAGATCCGTAAATACTTTTAACCCAACATTATTTCGGTAAATACTTAATTAATTTGCATTATTCCAGAAAAAACTCAAATCCGGACCTTGAACATGGTTTCATTTTTTCTCGATCAATTTGCGATTTACACTAATTTTTAAAAGGGAAATTATCATTGACATCCCTTGAGGTTTGATGCATTATCAATCACACCCCTATACTATCAAAAACATACTCTTACCGTCTTACCCCCTCCCTATATTTAGAGAAAATTATAGATATAATTCCATAATTCTTCGTTATGTCCGCTTTTAATATTGTAATTTTATTCAATCACAAATCTGGTCCGGTAATTAATAACTTTGTCCATGCTAAAGACCTTTTAATCGGAAGTCGAAAAAAAATAAAAAAAAAATGACACAAAATTTACCTCACTCTCTAGGTAGTTCATTTCATGCCTTTAAATTTGTAAAGTGAGTAAATATACTCAATTGAAAGTGATCAAAATATGCTAAATTTGCCAAAAGTCGAAACAAATCAACTTAAATGAACTAAACCAACTCAAAAGTGAAGTTTACTACTCAATTTTACCATTATAATTTGAATGCAAGAAAATTCCCAATTTGCACTCTAGACACTCTTTGTTATCACTCGAAGTGAGATAATATAGGTATAATAATAACTTGTAAATTAATATTTGACAAAATATGAATATGTTTACATGTAAAATACCGATAAGGACATTATAGTTTAAGACGAGTTCCGCACTCAAACTGGTTAGTGCAAAATAATTAGAGCGGCCCATGACCTTATCTTCGGTTCCAATCTCCTAATTGGTCTAGGTTTGATCCCTATAATTTAAATATTTTTACCTCCCTATTTTTCAACTTTTAAATGGACTATAACCCATTTTAAAATGTTCTCAAAACATGGGCTCTGATCCCGGTCCCAAAAAGTGAGGCCTGAGGCCTCTTTTTCACCGGTCTGGTCTCGGTCCCGACCTAAAACATTAATTCAAAAATCGGTCATTCCCGAGACCGGGCCTTGTCCTTCCCTAATATGAACCACAAAAGTAAGTATTTCACATACAAATTTACAATAGGTAACAATAGTCTCTAATTGCAAAAAAGAAAAACAACAGTCTCCTAAAATTCTTTCACCAACACCTGTTTTAGGTATAAAATAACATTTCTCGTTATTGGATGTCTTTCCCTCGTTAGAAAAGTTTCACCAAGATTTCTACAATTTTAGATATATTTTTGAACTTTTAAAAGTAATAGAGATTTAGAGTCCGTTTAGTGACTTTGTTTTTCGGCTTATCAGGCTTATGAGCAAACATTTTAACCAAACACGTAATTTTTGCTTTCACGCGCTAAATTATGTAAAAATAAGAAAAAGTAAGGTTGAAGTTACTTTTCTGGTTGTATTGGTTGAAATTACTACAGATGACAAATTTAGCTATTTTTTCTTCATTTTATTAATAAAGTATATTTTAATACTCCCTCTGTTCCAATTTGTAAGATACTTTACGGTTTACGATGTTTGACCGACAATAAAGCAAATCGATCCCTCTCAACACTCAAATTAGTTTTAGAAAATAAAATTTACATATTCAGAAACTACATTAAAACCGCTATAAAACCTGCGAAAAATAATTCAAATTTCATAAACTTTTGATATATAAAGTAAAAGATCGAAAGTGATTTATGTTGACCAAGTGAATAGTAAATGTATCTTACAATTTGAGACTGATGGAGTATAATTTTTTTATAAATCAGCCGAATAAGCCAATACAACCATTTCAGCCACAACTTCATAAATTTCAGCAGAATCAACCGATTCAGCCGATTTCAGTGTTACCAAATGAGCTCTTATTGTTTTAAGCTCATACATTTCGATTTTGTCTGCTACTAGTCCTATAATTATATTCACATGTAGATGTAGGTATGTACCTAATAGATTTGTCAATAATAAGAGCTATTTCATTGGAAAGTATGCGTTCCATAAAAAAATTACATTCTGGTGGAAGGATTCTTAATACAGATAAATTTATTAATTGTCAAATTAAATCTGCAAGTGAGTAAATTTATAAAACTAAATTTATACTTTTCCTAAACGTAATTAAAAGTTATTAAACTTTCATTAAAGATCATACATTCCCAGAATCACACTAGACTTTGACAATTATAAAATACATAAAGACAATACATTTATCTGTTCAGACCAGGCCAGATCATAAAATTCTAATCAAGGTCAAACCTCATATTTGATTTAATCAAGGTCAAACCTCTTATAGTAGTAGGCTAGTAGCACCAGGTCACCATCGACTACAACAACAACATCCACTCCTTAATCCCAAAAGAATTTGGGGTCGGCAGGTCACCACCGACTCCCAACTTTAATTAATTTGAAGTTCGAATCATGTCGATTCTTATTGCTACACATCATTTCATGTTTTTACTTGGACTGTAATTTGCTGATCTGGTCCGATCTAGTATGTTCATGTCAGGTCCGGTCTAATCTGGTAATGTCTGGTCTCTGTGTACAAGTATTTTATAACTACGGAAATCTGGTCTGGTCTTGTATGGATATGATCAAGGTTGACATAGAATAAGTAGGCTTGTATATGGCCAGGTTTTGAGTTTTCTGATGAAAATAAACCTGAATGCTTATACTTGATTTATTTTTGTAGAACTTCGCATTATCAGATGAATCACATTTTCTAATTATTTCTTTTCATTTTGTGTAATCATGTAGTTAATCTTGTATGCCATTTGGACTTATGAATGTTACTTAACATAGTTTTTGAATGTGAAATTCGTAGATTGATGCAAATCAATAGAAATCGTCTCCATAAAGTAGTTTTTTTTAAATCTACCGCAATTCATATACAATACATCCTTCAGTTTGGTAGACACGTGGAGTTGGATGTTTTGTCCATGTTAGTATATCATCATAAATAACAAATAATAATTTAAAGTTCCAATTATTTATGAAAAGTGTTTTCGGATTTGACTGTTTTGGGACTAGATAAAGTTTTCTTAATATTTTGTGAACAGTACTTTTTCTAGTTTTGAACTAGAAAAATGTATCCCTGATTTATTTTTTATTTTCTATCGTGTAGATTAAATATTTTGTATTTACGGAGTATTATATATAGAACAACTTACCTTACTGTAAATAATTGATACAAGTCATAAAAAGGTTCCGCGAAATAATTTTCTGAAATAAACGGAACATAAATGAATAAGGAGTAAAAAGAGAAGAGTTGACTCTTACCTATCATCATCTTATATTGAAAGATTTAGACAATTCATGGATATAATCATCTTATATTGTTTGAATAAAGAGCAAACTTTAACATATAGTATTGTTTCATTTGAAATGTTACTAACTATAGAGTTTCATTTCACCCCTTTAATTTGTCACATAGTTACTGTGTGATGGACAGTTACTAATGCACTATAGTTACTAAACTATTTCAATACTTTCTGCATTTACCACATGCAAAGACTATTGAGTACTCAGGGCTTATTATGGGGCTTGAGATAAGGTGTGATTTCACCTTCATGATGGTAAAAAACTAAAAATGAATGTCTACACATGACCCTGGACTCCTGGAGAGTGAGATTTCTCATCTCCAAACTATTAAAAGTGAAATGGCTATCACGAACTTTCCTAATAAATATGTCATGTATGACTAAATAATAAATATGAAATGAAATGGAGCAAAATGAATTTTTACACACAACACCAAGAACTTTCCCCATAAGATGTGTATATAGTGACAAAATATATCAGTCAACATTAATTCATACTCCGTATATCACACGTATGGATCTTGCCCAATATAGTAGCGGGCATTTGCGTTGCTTGGCAGTTCCTCATAATCATCAATTCTTTTTTCCTTTTTCATTTGCACAACAAGGCTCCAGAACAAAAAAAAGGGTGGGATGAACAATGGAGAATTTAAAACCCACATTCCCAAGCCAAATTGTAAGTAGCCTGCCTCCACAGAGCTGGAGAGTGAGTCATAGGTGGAGATAAACAGTTTTGAGTTTCTCAAGGAGCAAATTAAATCCTTTTCGTTTTGAAAAGAGACTTGCACATAAATTAACAAAAGCTGGCTGCTCCAAAAAAATGAGCATTGATCCAAATTCTTCATGTTCAGAAGTGGGTGTGGGGGTTGCTTGGTGCTAGCCACCTAGAGGGTGGATCTGTTGAGGCTTAGCTAGCCACCTAGAGGGTGGATCTGTTGAGGCTTGTGGGATCTTCTCAAGACTTTTTTTTATTCAAAATGGAACACAATAGCCCATGTTACTATGAACAGAGCGAGCTATGGCTAAGGTGTGCTGACCAAGGCAAGAAAGCTTCCTAAAGAGAGACTGAATGACACAAATATATATAAGGACATACATACTCCATGGGTTGTTGAACAAAAAAAAGAAACATGAAGAACCCGGTTTTAGCTTGATGTGGATAGCTCACCTCCATGAGCATGACCAGACTGCTTAGCACCGGAACGGGGGGTGGGACCACTCTTCATATGGGTCCGGATGTTAGATGATCCAGAAATGGGTTCAGGCCTCAACCCTGAGGAAGGCAGTAGAGCTGAAGTGCCAATTAAAGGGTAGGGTGCAGTTGGTACATCGGCAAGGGAAGATGCAGACGGGCTATAATTGAGTGTTCCCATGGGATGATCAAATTTGCAGGAAAGCCCGAAATTGCATATTCCATTTTGTGAGTAGTGAGAACAAATCGGTGCACCCTAAAGACAAGAAAATCTAATTAAGGAAAAAAATAAACACAAATATATGATAAAAAAGCAAAGCAATTGAATCATCAAGCATATTCGACAAACAACCAATACAAGA